CTAAATCGAGCGGCATACCTTGTATTTGCGACGAGGCCAGGGGACACTGACGTACTGGCCGAGAAGGGTTTGTCTCTGACTCGAACCTGCGTATGAGGGACATCGGATCGGAGCCCCTCGCGACGGACTTGCTGACAACAGCAGCTCCGCTCCCTCTGCTGTGTCTTCTCATTGTTTCCGGTACTTCTGGGCCCGACTGAGATCTTGGATCCGGGTTGGCTATGCCAGAGGAAAAGACATTATGATGGTTCCTCTATCTTTCGCAAGGATGCGGCGGCAGGTTGTTTTCTCTATTTTCCTTTTCCTTAAAAATTTCCCCGTTGTCGGTCTTTTGGATCGTATCAATAAAGGAAGAACGATAACATAATGTGCGAATTAACCAATATTAAAATAAATATTAATCCTGCACAACGCTCAATAATAATTAGTACTGAACATAGCTTGAGGGGAGAAAAGGAAAGAAAAGGGTCACAAGAGAGGAATGGGGAATGAGGAAAGTGGTCCAAGAGCTTCGCCAACAGCATTTGAACTTCGCTGGTAGTCCACGAGGTGCCTACCTCGACGTATCTCCCTCTCTCAATATATATATCTAACCCAGTCGCGGATTCGCCTGAAGCCTTGAAGGTGCAATGGGTCGCGGCCAGCGAAGCATTTAAGAACTTGAAACCGTGGAGCTTTTAGGAAACAGGCGCGCCACCAAAACCAGCGTAAACTCCAAGAGTAATTCCGATATAATTAGCGGATGCGATATAGAGCAGAGGAGAAACAAAGGAAGGGGTAGGGGTATTGAGAGTTGAAGTGGCCAGGAAGACCCCGGTGCCGAAGTGGCTTTCCGCCTTCTGCTATTTAACGATGGGATTCCAGCAAAACGAGGGGTGGAGCCAAAGAGCTGTAGGCTTGGCATCCGTTTCGTGCAGAATTTATGCCCACCGGGAATAATGCACACGCACCCAAGCTCCCCCAGTGCTGCTAAGACTTGGTATCATATGGTACGTGGTCCGTTCCTTAGGGCAACCAACGATATAGCGAGTGAGTGGCCTACAAAAGCTTGTATAGAACTAAGGTCCCATATCCAACAGACCTTGTAGTTTTCAACTTGGGAGGACACACGAGTTGTTGCGGGAACATTGAGCGTATTACCGAACTATTGTGAACTATGGTACTGGCATACCCATGACACTATAACTGTACCCTATCAGATACCTATCTAATCGGTGTATCCTTGCATCATAAAAATCCACACTTATGCTAACTACCCACCAGGACCGAAGAAATTTACGGTCTCCCCGAGCCGGTGTTTATATGATAAAATCTTTTTTTCTCGTAGGCCAGAGCTACTACCAAATTGTTCAAAAATAATAGGAAAAATGCAAGGAGGATACAGCCAGTGGCTGCAAGAGGACCCAAAATGGAAAAAACAGTGAACCCGTACGATGCTGAATGGAACATAGCATTGTCACTAAGACCCTTTGTTTCCAACCCGACTTGCATAGCAGCGAGGACAATAGCAGCGTATACTGTTGCGGATGCTAACCATGTGAAGTTGTCCCGAAAGAAGGTCTTGTATTCCTGCCAGTGTCTGGTATAACCGCCCAGAAACGGGCGCTGGGTAAAACGATATATGTTATTCAGGCGGCTCAGGCGAAGCTCTCCGTATATGAATCGGGGGTTGATGTTCGGGTAGATGTGTGCCGTGTCAAGTTGTTCAACAAAAGTTCTCCATCCTTGCCATGTCAATCGGTCCTCCCCCGATGGGAGCAGGCGTTTGTCCTTGGCAATGTAAAAATCGCTCTCATGGGAGATCAGTGCGGCATAGGAGTACAGGAATCCCAGTGCAGACTTTCGCAATTTTCGATGGGAGCACTCCTGACTGGATGCCGGTGAGCCAACTTCAACCTCATGATCAAGGCATTTGCAATCGTCTCGGCAGGAAAGATATTCGGACCAGAAATTGGGCTCAAGAAGGAAGCGTGGGATGGGCTTGAGGTATACTCGACCCTCCGCCCAGACAAGATGCATGTCCATCTGCTCCGTGACGAAGATTTCGCGCCCAAGTAGGAGCTGGTAGTGAAGAGGTCTGGGTGGCATGGGTCGACCAACTACCCACAGCCATTTGAAAATTTTATTCAATCTACGCACATCAAGCTCTTTTTCCATGCAGGCCATATAATCATAGCTCGGGGCAGCAAGGTCATCAGTGCATGTACGGTACGATGCAGGGAAGACAGCCGAGAGCTTGTCATTCCTGCTTTGAGAAGTGGTGGTAGCGTCGTCGGATCCACCTCCCAGAAGCCGAATCGAGAAGGGAGGCGGCTGCACATAAAATGTCAGTTTTTCTGCTTAGTCCGGCACAGTGAAACTATCACCATAGCTGTTGAATTGGAATATTTACCTGGCTGTGGTCCTGCTCCATAGTATTTCCCCTTTCTCAACAGGCAGGGGCTGGTTTATTTAATGTTGAGCCGTGTTAAGCCTGTTGTGCCTGAGTGAATGTGTGCCTGGCATATATTCAGTTATTTAAGGACAACACTTCGCCCAGCTGCCAGGGCCTGTGGTCGTCGAAGACCAGATGTAGTAGATGTGATCAGCTGGCCACCGTAATATAAGACTTGCTAAAAGTATCAGCGCAGCAGTACACAGCTAGCTAGCTAGCAGCATGATCAGACCTCTATTGGTCACTCAGCCATCGCACTCCTCAGTGACTCGATGTTGGACTGCTTTCGGGTGTCTTCTGATCTTAACGTCCCGAACGGCTCATTCTCCGTTACGGGCCAGAACAACTGACAACAACAAGTGTGGTTATACACGCGCGCCACAAACTAGTGGTTTGGCGTGTTTACCGCCGCGATGATGTCTCCCAGTCCAACCAAACCGGTCATCGTTAGTATTGACAACTCTGCACTTGTCATGGAAATCGGGTCATCCTCATTTGCGACATGCTCCTTGTTGTATTCATGTGTATTTTTGTTCCCTTCTCCACATTGGATGATGGACAGACGCCACTAATTTAATGCTGCAGGTCATCAGAGGGAGGTTGACGATTGCCGCTAGTCACCGACCATGTCGATGTACTCCGTAGAGGCAGGATATTCATGGACGAGCGGATAAGATAAATTTCCAATAATACCTAACCCACGTCGAGCACCGTTTCAAAAACAAGCTTTTGTAGAATTCGCCTAAATATTTTACTGCACAATACACCTCATCGCAGCCGTTCTGATGGTTTAATTTTTGTCTGCGAGTCGGCATAGTTACTGGGAAGATTGAGTCTATTTACTGGGTTTATAGCAAGTTGGTGGTAGGCAAGACTGTTTGATAGTTTGCTATCGAAATTGCTTCTATATATTCATTCTCCAAACCGCCCAGTGTTTAGTATCTATGGATAGATTATGTTAAGTATAGTACATGATTAACTTTATCTTTGGAATAAACCTCGAACAGTTAACCGGACTAATATTGTTATATTGTGCCAAATAAAGTACCTCGAAGAAACTAGAATTTTGCAGAGGACCATAAGCAAAAGTAATAAAATAACTTCACAGAACAGTGTGGCTAGAGTCGAACTGACTATAGGAAATTAGCCAGTGCCTTCGTGTATGGCTATACAGCCATGATTCTACCAAATTCCTGAAACACACCAAGTGACGGACCAGTCGCTGTTCAATTTGGCGAAAATCTTTGTTAAATTAGCAAAGAGTTCCATTGTGCTAACCAAGATGGCGCGTGGGCAGCGGAATTGGCATAGCTTTGATCCGGGCTACAGGTTTGAGTGCGTCAAGGAGAACTCTTCATATCTCATCATCGCATAAGGCATGTTCTAGACCAAAATTGACCGGTCATCTGGCATGACATGAGCGCAATATCTCTTACGATCATCGTGGGAAACAATTTCGAGGTTACCGGTTGGATTCACTGGCGGCACACTCCCAAAATTGAGGCCGTTAGCAGTTTAACGACTTGGCCACTGGCCACATCGGTGGTTGCCCTGACAGGATATCAGCGGTGCCGTAATTTTTGCTGACTGGGTAGGAACACTGTAATGAAAATTGGAACGGACACAATCGGCACGATAGCGGGACAAAGTCTTAAATCGACAGCTGGACAACCCTGAACAGCTCTTCTGCTCGTAGTGGAGAGGGCCCGGATCCCTGAAAACGAGCAAGTGTATTCTGACGCATTACAATGCCCTAAGCTGTACGAGGATGAAAGAGACTTTAGAGACTGTCAATGTTAAGTTGACCAAGGAGGGGAGATTCAGGTCCTGTGTCGCAAGAGGTATAGTCGCATAATCCTGGGGAAAATATAGCCGCGCGTGGAGGAAGAGCTTTTTCAGATTTATATGCTCTATGCAGTGGAAACTGTAGCTTTTAAAATGTGCTTTGAGTGAAGTCGTAAGAAGAGCCAATTAACTAAATGTTAGGCGGTATCAATGGACTCATTCTCCGAACGAAATTTTCGGTAAACGAATTCAATATAACCCGGTCGATTTCCTTTCATCGCTGCCAGAGCGTCTTGGATCAGTCCAAAGGTGAGACTCAATCTCAAACCAAGTTTCGCTGTTCGTGCAGCTGTATATGCGTCGTGGTGAGCTATATCCTTTTGGTTAGCGTTGAAAGGCTGATAAAAAAACACATCACATGCATGGATATATGGATGATATGTGCCATGAAATGCACATCGCAAACACACCTAGCAAGCTATAAAGACCCGAGAATGCAAGGCCAGCGGTCACCGTGGAAAGGAAATCCTGCTGGCCGTGACGGGCGTGGTCAACCGTCTCCTCAAACAAGCAAAAAGTAAAAGCCCCAGCTCCAAGTTTCATTCCCATTTTCATTCCATCCTTCACTCCCCCGACAAATGATTTGTAGTTCTTGCTTCTGTGATAATGGTACCAACCCATAGTTGTGGTTGGTAGTCTATGGGCGTTCTCAGCACGGTATCGAAATGCCGCTCTCGTGCTGCCGTGGCCAGCTCCTAAAACCATGCCGGCAGTAAATGCAGCGCCCACTGTAATCGGCAGGCGGACGATTGGATCGATGCTGAGGCGCGGGGAGGAGGGATTAGCATGGCCGAGAATGGTGCTGAAAGTTTGATCCCCGTCTATTGGAGGCAGGGAATCCTGCTTGGATCCCATAGCTATGCCCGCACGGTAATTTTGTAGGCCAAAAGAAAAGCAAAATCTGGAAGTAAATAGGGCGCGAAAATCAAAGGTATTAAGCAAATTGACGCCAAATATGGGTCAAGCCGTGTCGTAAAAATATCCGTGGTTGTTAGTAAATACTAACGGATTCTTGATTTTAGTTGCTGGTTTGCGCTAGCCCTGTTTGGGTGGCTCTTTCTTCCCGAACTGACTGAAAACCACCGTAATTCGCAACAAACAATCAGTGAGGCTGGAACGAAACCCCGCTTGGGGATTGGACGGATTAATATATTCGAAATGGTGAGTGCAGTGAAATTGGTATTGATCTTGTATAACAATTTTACTAACCCCTGTAGAGCGAACCTGATTCGCTCAAATGGACTCTGAGGTTCAAAAACCATAATGTTACAATCCTTCTCCTTGTATCGCCTACCCAATCATTCGATTCCATAAAAGAAGAACTCATGAAAGCCCTTAAAATTCGCGGCATTACAGAATTAAACGGCCAAACTGTGCCTGAAAATCCAGCTGAAATCGAATTTGGTGTACCACTTGACAGGAACAACTTGGAAAAAGGCTGGGAAAAGTTGAAACCGACGGCAGGAGAAGCAGGGAACGGAATGAACAAGCAACCTTTGCGAGGCCGGAAGTCAATTATCACAGGTCCCTTAGGAGCAGGGCTCAAAGATTCTCAAGCGCTCGCGTTCAGATTCCGCAAGCCTGGCGAGGATGAGGACGAAGATGATCTGGGAATTGGTTTTGACGACCCTGGCTGGGATGTTATGATTGCAAAATATGACGCTGAAGACGACGAATGACGCTGTTGTGATGATAGGAGTAAGGAGTTTCGGGATGGCTGCATAAATTTATTGGATATTCACTGCTTGGATGCTTGGCTGCCTCGACCTTGCTGATAAGTTTAAGTTGGCTTGTCTGCCGGGGACAACGTATGCACATTAGGGTGTGCATACATGTACCCCCCCCCCTTTTGCACAAAGCGCAGATTTCCATAGTTGAGAACGATAAGACCAAATGAACATGGTTCCTATCTAACAAGCTGGATCATCCATATTTTACAGGTGCATTTTCAGTTCACGCACAAGGGCTCATGGCTTTATGTCACAGCTAACGATCCCTCTATATCCATTTTAACAAGCAGTTGGTGCGATTCCACATAGGCCCAATGACCCTGAAGTCTGAAATCTAGAAATACAAAACTTGCTGGAATGTCACTTTCAGGCTCAATCAAAGTGCATTATGACCAACAAAAGTGCGTGTCAATATATAATCCCTGCAAAATTAAACTTGGTTTTGGGTGAAAGTCTTAAAACTCACAGAATAAACTTTAATATATCCACGACCTTCACGGATGCTGCCATGGCAACCGGCGTCGGATCAACTATTCCACTTTCCCAGCATCAACAGAAATGTAAATAATGATCTGGGAGCTTGACAGGGAGAACAGACCTTCCAAAAGGACAAAAGTTCCACCGTTCAAATTCTAACTTTCAACAGAGGTCAATTGCTTCTGTTTGGGGATATCAGTTTCAATTTCATTTTCTTTACTGTTATCTATTATATAACCTTTAGTGTTCTTTTGTTCATTTGCATTCTTCACCACTAGTTTACACAGCATATACAAACAACACAGACTGTTTATACAACCTATCCCTCATGGCGGCCTCGAGCGGGGCGTCATCTATCTCAGTGACCGTTCGGGTGAGGCCATTTACAATACGAGAAGCTGCACAGCTTACGAAATGTGATGATTCGATGTTCTTCCTCGGGGACGGCTCCCTCGTCCCCACCCCAAAACTGATACAGAAAGGCATTCGACCTGTGGTAAAGGTCATGGATGATAAGTGCTTGTGAGTAAATTGCTATCCGGTTACGGATTGGATATTCTGACCTTTGTCAACCAGGGTCTTTGACCCACCAGAAGACAACCCAGTACATCGATTTTCTAAATCCGTGGTCCCAAATGGAAAGCGTGTGAAGGACCAGACGTTCATGTTCGATAGAGTCTTCGATGAAAACACGAGCCAAGGAGATGTGTATGAAGCAACAACTCGGAGTCTGCTAGATAGCGTGCTGGATGGTTACAATGCCACCGTTTTTGCGTACGGTGCGACAGGCTGTGGCAAAACCCACACCATTACAGGGACTGCTCAGCAACCGGGTATTATTTTCTTGACTATGCAAGAACTATTTGAACGGATTGCGGATAGAACAGAGGAAAAGGTCACTGAGGTATCATTGTCGTACCTGGAAATTTACAACGAGACCATTCGCGACCTGCTTAGTCCCACCAATCCTCCCAAGGGCGGTCTCATGCTCCGAGAAGACGCAAACCAAACAGTCTCCGTGGCTGGGCTTTCCAGCCACCATCCTCAGAACGTTCAGGAGGTGATGGATATGATTGTGAGAGGAAATGAGTCTCGCACTATGTCTCCCACGGAAGCAAACGCAACATCATCTCGGTCTCATGCCGTTCTCCAAATTAACGTAGCGCAAAAAGAGCGTAATGCGGATGTCAACGAGCCACACACAATGGCCACATTGAGCATTATCGACCTTGCAGGAAGTGAGCGAGCGAGCGCAACAAAAAACAGAGGGGAGAGGCTGATCGAAGGCGCCAATATCAACAAATCTTTACTAGCATTAGGCAGTTGTATAAATGCTCTATGCGATCCTAGGAAACGCAATCATGTCCCCTACCGCAATTCGAAACTCACCCGGCTGCTAAAATTCTCGTTAGGAGGAAACTGCAAGACGGTAATGATCGTCTGTGTCAGCCCGTCCAGTCAACACTTTGACGAAACACAAAACACCCTTCGGTATGCAAACCGAGCAAAGAACATACAAACTAAAATTACCAGAAATGTGTATAACGTCAATCGCCATGTCAAAGATTTTCTTGTTAAAATCGATGAACAAATGGCTTTGATTAAGGAGTTGCAAAAACAACAGAAAGATTATGAAGCTATTGCTTTCGCGAAGTTTAAGAAACAATCCGAGAAGAAGGAATTGGTAGTTCGTGAGGGAGTGGCTCGCCTGCGCAGTGCGTATGAACATTCAGCCTCCGAAAGAGAAGAAAGGGTCAATTGTATGCTGCGCTTGAAGCAAGTCAGCCGTCGCATCTCAATCCTCTCCTCCTGGATTGCTGCATTCGACAATGTGTGCGATGCTGCTGAAAATGAATCCGCCTTGTCCAATCTCCAGGCCATTCGAAAGACTGCCCACGGAATTCTCGTCGAGCTAGAGGGCAGCAGACAGCATTATCACCAGAAGCTTGCAAAAAGTAGCTGGGATCGAGGCATTAACTCTGCACTGGATATTGGTATTAAACAACTCCAAGAACTTGAAATAGCAGATGGTGTCGATACTGCCACCCTCGCGCGGGAAGCGGAGTTACTTAGGGCCAACGCAGAAAGGGAAGCACTAGGGGCAATTGCCGAGCAGGAGAAAGGAAGCGACTTAGCAATGATCCAGATGTTGCTGCAAACCAATTTCGAGACAGTTTCTGCAATTGACGATATCATGCAGCTTCGCGAGGAGGATGCAGTTGCAGCTGGCAAAAAAATTCTTGCAAAACTCCTCACGTCCAGTACAGCTGCTACGGCTCATGTAGTCAAACCTGATGGGAACGTACGGCCCATCGAAGTTTTCCCACCAAGCAAGACGGGTACACCTAAGCGCAGGAAGCAAAACAGTATGGGGCTCCCCGCATCGTTGCCAAAACCTATCAAAGCGGTTCTGTCTATAGCACCCCATGTATCCCCATCCCCAGCCAAGCCTTCTCCCAGAAGAAGAAAGATAGGGCCAAAGAAGGGTGTTAATTTCACACCAAAGAAGCTTCAGACGAAGAGCAACAAGAGGAGTGTAAGATGGAAGGACGACGTAGAGGATGGAACGCTTGCAGAATTCGAGAAGACTCCACAAAAGGTTGAAGAATCGTCTCCTGATACGCCCTCGGTGGAGCCGCAATTACAGCCAATGCATTTGGTGGCATCGGCCATTCCCCGTCGAACATCGAATGGCTCGAGAGAATCGTCACCCATCCCCAGCCCTCCTACCTCGCTCATCGTCCAGAAGAATAGCCGTTTCAAGGCCGGCTTCCTGTCCAAGAAGCCGAACGGATCTCCGGCTCCCTCGGCGTTGCCTAGGCTCCCCTTATCGTCGGACAGCGAACTTTCTCCATTACGTGGTATTGAAAATAGCAGTTTCCTAAATCGCAAATCTCTTGACCATTCTGAGGCTGATGATAACAAGAAAAGCAATGTCAGCGGGTCGTCATCAGACAACGAAGATAGATGGAAAATGGACAAAAGTGACGCCTTGATGATACACTCAGCGATGAGACGCATTTCCGGAGCCCACCAGGGAGGAAATCTAGCCTCGATGGCTGCTGTTAATAGAATCCATCGACGACGAAGCCCGACTGCTACCACGAGTGTAAGCCCTCCTAGTGAAAACAGCAGCACGTTCTCGGCGTCCCAAGCGAGGAGGATGGTGAAAAAGGAGAAGGACGATTCGAAGATTAGCGTTTTGAGCCCAAGGACCGTACCCATTATGAAAGCAAATAGCCAGCGACGGACGACAATCGGCGACGCGAAACAAATAGGCCTTGCGTCCAGAGAAGGGATTCGGCTTAGTTCTGCCACAATTTCAGGCGGTGGGTCGTTACGGGGTAGTTTACAGCCCGGGACGAAGGGTTCCTGGAGATAGCTCTGGGGCACTTTTCACTTTAATATAGATCCTTTTTAATTTGTGGAGTTTGTGGGCGGGCTACATATGGATGTTTCGGAAGCTTTACCTGGTGTCCTGGGATTGTCTGCCACGAATTTTTTTTCCTTTCAACTGCATGTATTTTAATCGGCTTCTTTAGCCTTTCTTTTCGTTTACTCCATGCCTACCGGTGTTTAATATATCCAAACAATGCCTATCCTGATTTTCGAA